ATTAGTATGTACTACAAATTTTAACTTGTGATTGAAAATAATTATTAACTATGAAATATTTATCAAAATAATAGTTTTATGGCTATATTATTTTATCATGACAAATAATTATACTTTTTATGTCAACTATTGCCACGATTATTTAGTACTCAAAAAAAAAAAAAAATTTGGCTATAATTGTTTTGGCTATGATATTTTATTTTAAATCATTTCTTGTGGCTAAAAGGTTATTGTTACTTCAACAAATTTTAACCAGATCGTGGCAAAATTGAATAATTATCTATGCAATTTTGATATAGCAAAAAATTCATGACTATATTATCTAATATTGCCACAATTTTTGTAACTTCAAGAAAAGCTATTGTTTAGCTAGAGATTTGCTTCAACAATAATGTATTGTAGCTAAAAGTTATTATTACTACGATAAATTTTAGCTTGTGGCAAAAAATAATAATTAGTTACGAAATATTATGAAAGCAAAATAATTTATGGCTTTTTCATTAAATTTTTGCCACAATCTTTTATTACTTGAAGCAAGATTATTTATTTAGCTACAATATTTGTTTTAAATTATATATTGTAGCTAAAAGATTACTATTGCTAGAGTTAATTTTATCGCGTGGCAAAAACTTATAATTAGCTATAAAATTTCACCGTAGCAGAAAAATTATAGCTATTGAGGTACTTATAGGATTTAGCTTTGTCAATTTGATTTTCGTGGCTAAGAAATTTGACAAAATTTTATATAGCCACAAAATTCAAATTTTTGTGGTAATTACTAAATAATAGCTACGATTTTCAAATTCATAGCTTAAATTTTGTAGCTATAAATCCATTATCTTGTAGTGTGAACAAAGTCACAATCAAGATTAAGTATCCTATCCCCAAGATTGATGACTTGTTTGACCAACTTTAGGGTGCTAGTCATTTCTCAAAGATAGATCTCAGATCCGGTTATCATCAGCTCAGAGTCAGAGATAGTGTCATCCTGAAAATAGCCTTTAGAACTCGGTACGGTCATGATGAGTTTGTAGTTATGTCATTTGGATTAACCAATGCTCCTGCAGCTTTCACGGATCTAATGAACAGAGTGTTCAAGCAGTAATTGGACTTGTTCTTTATCGTTTTTATTGATGATATCCTCATTTACTCTAGGAATGAGAAAGAACATGCGAATAATTTGAGGGTTGTCCTGCAAACTCTCAAAGATCGCCATTTATTCACTAAGTTTAGCAATATGAGTTTTGGTTGCAATCTATTGCTTTCCTTGGTCATATTGTGTCTATCGAAGGGATTCAAGTGGATTCTCAAAAAATAGAAGCAGTGAAACAATGGCCCAGACCTACCTCTCTTACAATATCAGAAGTTTCTTGGGTTTGGCTGGTTATTACAGAAGGTTCGTGGAAGGATTTTCATCCATAGCCTCTCCATTGACTAAGTTAACTCAGAAAAAGGTTAAGTTTCAATGGTCAGATGATTGTGAGAAAGGCTTCGCAGAACTGAAAACTAGGTTGACTATAGCTCCCGTTTTGACTCTACCAGAGGATTTAGACGGTTATGTTATCTATTGTGATGCATCCAGAGTTGGCCTAGGTTGTGTGTTGATGCAGTGAGGTAAGTTTATAACTTATGCTTATAGACAACTTAAGGTGCATGAGAAGAACTATCTGACTCATGACCTCGAGCTTACAGCAGTGTTGTTTGCACTTAAGATTTGGAGACATTACTTGTATGGTGTTCACGTAGATGTGTTCAAAGACCATAAGAGCCTTCAGTATGTGTTCACCCAGAAAGAGTTGAATCTTCGCCAGAGGAGATTTGCTTAGAAGTTCCTCAAGGATTACGATATGAGTGTGCATTACTATCCTGGTAAGGCCAATGTAGTAGCAGATGCTCTTAGTAGACTATCTATGGGTAGTATAGCACATGTTGAGGAAGAAAGAAAGGAACTAACGAAGGATGTTCACAGACTTGCTCGCCTACGAGTTCGTCTTATGAGCATATCAGATGGTGGTGTAACAATTTAGAATGGGTCAGAATCTTCATTGGTATCGGAGGTTAAGGAAAATCAAGATAGTGATCCGATATTGCTCCAACGAAAGGGTGCAGTCCATCAGCAGAGAGTTGAGGTTTTCTCCCAATGGGGAGATGGTGTGCTTCGCTATCAGGGTCGATTATGTGTTCCTAAGGTAGGTGAGTTGAGACATAAGATTCTTGTTGAAGCCCATAACTCCAGATATTCTATTCATCCAGACGCCACTATGATGTACCGTGATCTGCGAAAAGTCTTTTGATGGATTGGTATGAAAAGGGATATTGCGGATTTTGTGGCTAAGTGACCTAATTGCCAACAAGTGAAAGTAGAACATCAGAAACCAGGAGGTATGACTCAAGAGATAAACATTCCTACTTGGAAGTGGGAAGTGATCAACATTAACTTCATTACAGGTTTACCTCGTACTCGCAGACAACATGACTCCATTTAAGTGATAGTTGATAGAGTCACTAAGTCTGTGCGCTTTATGGCTGTTAAGACTATAAATTCGGTAGAGGACTACGCCAAGCTTTACATTAATGAGATAGTCAAGTTGCATGGAATTCCTTTGTCTATCATTTCAAATAGAGGTCCTCAGTTTACCTCTCATTTTTGGAAGTCCTTTCAGAAAGGTCTTGATACTCAGGTTAATCTTAGCACAACATTTCATCCACAGACGGATGACAAGGCAGAGCGTACCATTCAGACCTTAGAGGACATGTTGAGAGCCTGCGTGATCGATTTCAAGGGTAGTTGGGATGATCACCATCCTCTTATAGAGTTCGCCTACAATAATAGTTACCATTCCAACATTCAGATGGCCCCTTATGAGGCATTTTATGGGAGTAGATGTAGATCTCCAGTTGGTTGGTTTGAAGGTAGGTTGAGGTTCAGGCCTTTGGATAGGGGCCAGATTCAGTTCATGATGCTATGGATAAAGTGCAACTCATTAGAGATAGACTTAAGACAGCCCAGAGTCGCCAGAAGTCCTATGCAGATGTAAGGAGAAGGGAATTAGAGTTCCAAGTTGATGATTGGATTTTTCTGAAAGTGTCACCTATGAAGGGGTAATGAGATTTGGCAAGAAAGGGAAGCTCGGTCCTAGATATGTAGGCCCTTACAAGATCTTGAAAAGGGTTGGTAAAGTGGCTTATGAGTTAGAGTTTCCAACAGAACTAGCAGCAGTGCATCCGATTTTTCACATTTCGTTGTTGAAGGAGTGTGTGGGTGATCCAGCATCTATTGTACCTTTAGAAAGTGTGGTTGTGAAGGATAGTCTCACTTATGAAGAGGTACCAGTTGAAATCTTTGATCGTTAGGTTCGAAGGTTGAGAAACAAAGAAGTCACTTCAGTTAAGGTTTTGTGGAGGAGATAGTCTGTAAAGGGAGCTACTTGGCAAGCAGAAGCAGCCATGAAGGCCAAGTATCCTCATCTCTTTCCTTCCCGATTCCATTCCATCTTGAGGTAATAGTTCATCTTCAGTTTTTCAGTCATTCATGCATAGTTTCAGTCTTAGTATCATGTTCCTTCAGTTTCTACTTGCATTTTCAGTGTATTTGCATGTTCTTGGAACTTAGTCCAATAAAAGATCAGTTTCCAGTGTTTAGTGGTAGGGTTTGCAGCTCTTTCCCTCCCTATTCAACTAGTTTAGTCTTCATTCGAGGACGAATGTTCCCAAGGAGGAGATAATGTAATACCCCATATGCTAGAACTACCAAAATGCAGGCTTCAGGAGTTGCAGGTGGCACCGACGGGGACCACCCACGGACCGTAGGGGGACCCACGGTCCGTTCTGATGGTCCGTGATTAACAACATGCGACCCTTCCTCCAGAACCCTCAGAAAACTTGGCTAAGGATAGACCCACGCAAGGACATACGGATCGTAGGTCAGACCATGGTCCGTGGTCCAGGGTCGTAGGTCAGATCCCCAACTTCCAGCCTCCAGTCGCTAATGACAGCCGACAAGCACGGACCGTCGGTCCATCCACAGTTCGTCGGTCAGGTCCGTCGATTACCCCGACAGATTTTATGTCAGGAGTCGTTTGGTCTTTTTCTTATATGTTGGACCCCTAAACTACGTCGTTTAACCCCTAAACTACATATTTTTGGTCAATTTAAGCCTAGCAACTTAACTAGAACTTACCCTAGTCAACTCATTCTCCAAAAATTCATCAAGTTGAATGAAAAGAAGGAGAAAGAATCGATCAAGCCCTAGTCCAAGAATGCAGTAGGTTTTCATCAGTTTCAACCCCGAAATCAAAAGATTTCTCCGTGGAATTCATCACCAAGTGTGTGGGATTTCACTAGTGAGTTCCTTTCACCCATTAGGTCCATAGATTTCAGTCAGAATCTTGATTCCCTTAATATTATCTAGACCTAGGGTTTCTTGAATCTTAGAAATTTTTGGGTTTTAGCTATTAGAATGATCCAAATCATATTATCATGTTATTACTCAGTTTCTCATATGATATTCAGAACCCTAGTTGTATATATTCGTTTAGTTCATGAATTATACATGCTAGGTCAGATTATTCAGATATATATACATGCTTCAGTTTACGAATGTCACATTATCAG